AATGACCCTTTTAGATAAGATTCGCTCAACAGTTCAAAAAATCCCCAAACATTTGTCCTTATTTCACTTACAGCAGTAAAAGCCAGTGCAATTCTCAAGCTGAAATCTAATTAATTGCAGTTATTTGTCCTGAAGTTGATGGATTTACTCCCATCCCTAAGCACAGGATGGAATCCTGTCAAGGTTGTGCAACCCTTTTCCCTGTCACTGGTTTTCCAGTGCCCAGTTTTCCCCGTGCCTGGGGCAGCCACAGGTGGTTTTGGCAGCGAAGCATCACCTGCCTGTGGCTTCCAAAGCCCAAAACTCCAAGGAAAAGGCAGGAGCCGCAGTTTGACACTCGCCAACTGCTCGGATCCTCCCTGTCACTGGAAGTCGCCGTGCCCCCGACTGTTCCCGAGCTCCACATCCCATTTTTCTGCTGTCTGGAATGAAAAATGCCGGCACACGGCTCCTTCCCCCGGCAGGTACCGCTGTCGAACATGTTGCCTTCCCGACATGACATGGAGCCTCAAAACTCACAGAGAGACTAATTACTGCAGAAAATTCCAGCAGAGCCCCTTTCCTGGCGCTGGAGCTGACAGCCCCCAGCCCGGCCCCCCGCCCGGGAGAGCTGTCACTGTGTCCTGCTCCAGGATCCAATGGGAATCCTGCAGATCCCACTGGGATGGGGGCTCACGAACACGAGGATTCAGCCCCCCGGGGCCGCCTGTGAGACAGATCCAGCAGCATCCAACCACCCAAACCAAGCCTAAAATACTTATAATTAAAACCTGCCACACCTCTCTGCTTCCCGTCCTTCCCAGGAATAATGTTGATAAATACAGACATATAAGAATAATAAATTCTTGTATAAAACTGCAACTAAATTAATGCCACAAGAGCTACAAATAAACCTCCGACTGGAAGATCTGATATAAAAGCAAAGTGCCAGGAGATAATTGATCTGGAGGCTGAGGAATTAGCTCCCATTTACCTAGATGAGGTATAATAAATGTAATGTAGATCAGTCACATCCGTGTAGCTCTAATTTCCTCGGAATCGGGAAATAATGCCACATGAATTCCTTTAAAAAGCCATTTTGCCCAGGAAAATTGAACTGGGAGAGCATGTTGTTTCTGTGAAATATTGAGCTGTGCAATCAGAGCCACTGTGTGCTCTGAGCAGAGCTGGGGGGGACCCACCTTCCCTCCCCCCAGAGCTGCCGTGGAGGGATGTGAAAGCTTCCATTTCCCACGGCCAGAAACGGGGGGAATTCCACCAAAACACCCCCAACGTTTGTCTCCCTCTTTATCCTTCCACACTAAAATGGGATAAGCAGAGAAGCCACCCCGAATGCCCTGTTCCTTTTGGGATGAGCTACTCAGGGAGCTGATCCCATCCGTTAATAAAACACCGGTGTTAAAAGCCACTGATAATTCCCAGGAATTGCTTCTGCGGGATCAGATCCCAGCACACTCTGCCTGGCAGTGGAGCCACCTGAGGGACTGTGTCGCTGGGGTTTCTCCACCTTTCCTGGCTCAAGCAGCAGCCCCAAGGCTAAATCAGGCTCTTCCCATCATCGGTTTGGCACTGAAGGAATCAGAGCCTGGGATGTGTGGAAAGCCGGGCTGGACAACCACAGGGCTGGGATTATTGCTTAGATTTGGGTTAATGTTTGGTGACTGAAATGCCATTTTTGCAGGACAAAAGGTGTTTTGGTGCCTGATCCACGATCAGAGGATGATCCCATGCCTGTGCTTCCCTCGAAACCTCCATCCCCACACAGGACTTTGCGCTTACAGAGATATAAACCAGGAAAAATGAAAGAGAAACATTTTAAAAAAGGGAGAAAAAAAAATTAATATTTCCTAGAAGTTCATTTAAGGGGAAAAAAAGGTATTTTCCCAGAGAATGGTGTGTTTGTGGTGTGTTTCTGTGCCTGAGCCCGTGCAGGGAGAAAAATACACATTCAAAAGCGGAGGAAAAGTGCCAGAGCCATTTTTATTGTCTGGTTTTTGGCAAGATGCTGCAAGTTGGAGACTTCCCCCAGTGTTAATAACACAGTGTTAGTGACACACGGCTGCTTTCCCGGAGTTCAACCTCCACGACTCGGGGAATTTGGGACATTCAGGTCTGGTGGGGGAGAATTTGGGAAAACAAAAGCCTTCAGAAAAATCCAAACACTGAAAATATTCATGTCATGGAAAGCCCCAAATACTTCAGTTTCAAAGCATTGATGTGACCTGATGGAATTGAAGCATTTTGGCCATTAAATGTTATTTTAGATAGGGAAAAATGCAATCCTCAGATTAAGTGGAAAAGCAATTTTTTTCCAGTTTGTTTGTGAATCTGTTCAGAATTCTTTCACTGAAAATTTTAGGGGGGAAAAAAGTGTGAAATGCTCTGTAAGTTCTGTGTCTGCTGTCAAGCATTTGGAATTCAGGGAATAACTCAGATTTGGGGGGACACAAGGAGGGAGCCCAAATCTGGCCGGGCTGTGTGCTCAGGAGACCCCTGGAAGGTGATCTTTAGTGTCTGGAGAAACTGGGAAGCTCCACAAATCCCTGCTCCTCAATTTTCAACCGGATTTTTCAACTGGAGGCTTTTCCACAGGGGACACACCAAGGGAAAAACAACACTTGGAGTCAGAACTGAGGTACTCCCGGAGACAAATGTGATTAATGGGACAACGGTGGAGACTTGAGGCAGTTCCTGCCATTTCCCACTCTCCAGGGGCTGGTTCTGCTCCCATCCAACACCAGCTGCAGATTCCTCAGCACCATTAGTATCCAATCCAGGAATATGACATTTGAAACCCTCTGTAATTATGGAATGAGTCGCATTAATTTAATCTTAAATAGCCTTGTTTCTTGATTGAGGGAATTTTGGTGGAGCGAGTTGTGTACAGGCTCACCTTTCCCTAAATATATTCCCTACATGTATTCCCTAAATATATATGCACTCACACAGCGCTCCCAAGAACATCCTCAAGTTAATCATGTCCTAATTAATCAATGATCAAGTCTTATTAAAGGGGGTCACAGAGCTCCTGATTCCCCCTTGCATTCCCATCCAAGCTGCTGCAGGACACACGTGAGGAATTAAGGGACAAGTTCCTTAATCTGTACAAAGGGAAGGATTAAAATTAATCAATTAAAATCCAGATTACAGCTAAATTATATATGAGGGGAAAAAAACAGGAAAACCCACATTTCTTTGGGAAACCTGCCCCGGTGCCCCACAGACAGGTTCTCCTGGATTTAACACAGTTTTTAAGCGATTGAGATGTACTTTTCCCGTTCTCCTACCGTTTTCCAGCCGGGAACAGCGAGGGCGTTGCGGCCGCACTTCCCAGCTCCAGGCGAAGCTCCAGGACGGGGGCGTTTGGGGTCTCCCACCCCAGAGGTTCGCGTCGAGGCTCCGTGACCCGCAGGGGTGACACGCGTGTCCCTGAGCGCGTTCCCGGCCATTCCATTCCCGGCCATTCCATTCCCGGCCATTCCATTCCCGGCGCTTCCCGCGCGGCTCCGCAGCGCCACCTCCCGCCGGTGCCCGGGATTGCAGGGGCGGGAAAATCGGGCGGGAAAGCGCCATTGCCGCGGCTGAGGGCCGGGGCTGTGAGGGACCCCCCGACCCGCCTCCGCACACCCCGGGCAGCTCCGGCCTGAGGCGAACCCACCCCGAAATGAACCGAAACCCACCAACGAACACAAAGCCCCCGGATAAACCACAGACCCCTCCAAGTTCGGCGGTCAGGGTGACCCAGAGGCAGGAGGGCAGCTGACCCCGGGCAGGCGACAAGCCCGCCCCGAAACATCCAGGGAATCCAGGAGCACGGCGGCAGCAGGGCAGGGATGCACTGTAAGTAATAAACATTATACATTTCATTCATTTATAACACCAGAATCGCTGAACCTGGCACGTAACTCAGGCGGGAAGGAGGGAGGGAACGAGGCAGTTCCCCCAGAATGCAAAGGGGATGAGTGCACAAAGTCAGGAACGGGAAGTTATTCGTATTAAAAATGGTTTATTTCTATTTACAATTCCACGTCTTACATCCCTCGAAACAAAAGAGTAAGGAATTAGGAGAGGAGTCAAGCTGTCATCACATGCCATTGATTAACACAGCTCCATGAGGATCCTGGAATATGCAGTGAAGTGGGAACAAACCAGTGCCTCTCAGAAAATTAGGTTTTATAGATAATTCCCAGTTTTCTTTGGAAAAAGAAATATCTCTATTTTAACAGGAAATTCACTTGGGATGAACATCCAAATGTGCCAAGGCAGAAGAGAACCACCCCACTGTGCCCAAGGAACAGCAATTAGGCCAGGATTTAAGTTTTAATGGGATTTGTGTAATTAAAAATGCAGTAAATTTAACTGAACAAAGAGATTAATTATGGCAATTAAACACTTAGTAAGTTTTCCTGGGAATTCAGAGAATTCTATGGATATGGTGCTGATCAATGCCTGATTTATTAACATTAGTTTGGTAAGTTTTCTTGGAAGTATGCCCTAAGTAGTAAAAAAATTCCAATTAAGATGGAAAATTAATATTTGTAATAAATATTTCCTTACTGAAATCCAGAGAGAGGGAAAACATCCAATAAAATAAATCAGGAACAACATCTAAATCCCAGCCTGCCTGGGAAACAAGGGCAGGAATTTCTAATTTAAAAAACCACTTTTGGAAGACTCAGGAATTCCTTGGAAGTCAAGATTTTAAATCTGCTTCCTCTGCTCTGATTTGGTAGGGAAATGGGAATTAAACAGGTGAAGTTCCTCCTATCTGAGAATTATCTCTATTTAGTGGCAATAATGATCCAGAGTAACTCAGGTTTCTCTTGTATTTGACATTAGAAACTCTGAGCACACATTTTCTGTGGAGCTTTTCAGTGGAGTCAGGAAGTTTCAATGGAATAAAAGAGCCACAACTGTTGGAATTACAAAATTCAACTTGGCAAAAATCAGGAATTTTACTTACAAATCCATGGAGGAGGAGGAGGACACCAGAAACACACTCCAGCTCAAAGCAATGATTTATTGGAAATGGCAGTAAATCAAACTGACAGTCTCTGGTTATGGTCAAGCAATTATCCAGGAGTCAGAGAGAAAAGGGGGAATCTTGGACTGGGATAAGGCCTTCCAGTGGCTTTGCTTCCTAGTGGCTCTCTCCTTTTTTGCCAACTACCTGGAAGAGGGAAAAAAAACAGGAATAATGTTTCACAGCTCCTGAGCAGGACTCTTTTGGTTCTGGTAAATCCAACTCAATTCCCAGTGAGGGAACCCAGGAGCGTTACGGGAGCACCTGGAGGGATGGGAATCCCTTCCCGGGGTTAGGAGGGATGGGAAACACACACAAACCCTTCTGTTTAGTGTTGAACACAGCAAGGCTATTTTGGGAGGAGTTAGGAGACGGGAACTGCCAGAGAACACTCCAAAATCCAGGTCACACGTCAAGCATTATACCTTAACACACTCCATAAAAAAGTCAAGTGGGAAAAAAAACCCTGGATGCTCAGTTTGAGGCTGCTCCTTTCCTTGGCATCCTTTCCATGGGCTTCCCCAGAAATACTGACCTGATAATGCAGCTCAAACCCATACAATAATCCAGGAATTCACAGATATTCCAAAAAAAGCCCAAACCCCCTCAGTCCTGAATCCATGGACCCACGGGAAGCATTTTTCCTGCTCCTTCCCTTTTTTAATTCCTTGTCAAACTGCAACAGGGAGGAATTCTCTCCCACTTTCACCTCAAGGAATCCCTAATCAGGAGCATTTCCAACTGGAAATTCAACCTAATGCTCAAAGGCAGGAAAATTCCAACCTGGCAATGTGGGGGAAGAAGAACAAAATCAGATAATTAATCCAGTTAAAAAAATACAGTTAAACTTGTCACAGAGCAAAATTTATCCCTGCTGTGTTTCCAAACTGTGTCCACACACAGATTAGGCAAAGAAATCAGGAAAAGAAAAAGGAAAACCAGAGTTAAAAGATTAGGGATTAGGTGTTAGGAAGTATGGAATACCAAAAAAAAGTTCGATACCAGTCAGAGGCAGAGAGGGACAAGTGGCCCATGTGAATTATCTGGAAAACCCAGCACATGGATATGGATATTTTGGCATCTCAGCTCAAAGCCCACCCGTTTTCTGCCCATCCCACCCCACAATCCCACAGGAAATGTTTATTAAACCCCTAGGTAGGTGGGTTTGATTCCATTTCCCTTCCTTTCCATTAAGATATTACAAAGGAGTCTTGGCAGAGCATCTCCACCAGCCCCACAAAATTCAGCTGGGAAAGGACTCTTTGGTGTGACCTTAAAATGGCAACTTCAGGGTAAAAACGGGGCAAGTGAAGTGTTTAAGGAATGATTTGGAGCAGGGAGAGGAGGGAGAAGCTGAGCTGGTGAGTCGGGAGTGCAGAAGGTGCTGGGACTGTGGGAAAGGCAGGAGCTGAGCAGAGGGAGGGAGGGAAGGAGTGCGAGGCCACACCGATCCCATCATTACTTTTTAATTTCTTCTGCCCTTTTAGTTCTTTGGGAATGGGGAGTTAAGCTGGAAAACAAACAGAAGGAGCGTTACAAGAACCAAAGCAGCAGCAAAAGGTGTAAAAACGTTCAGTGCAAACAGGCAGGTCTGAGGAGAACCAAGGAATTTACTCCAGAGGGGGCAAAACATATCCCCCACCCTGTCAGGATTTATCTGTGGCTCTTCCCACTACTCTCCATGGGCTTAAACAGCAATTTTTTCCCTGGTGTCCCTCTTTTCCACCACTCTAAAGACTTCCCTCCTCCTCAAACTCCACGTCCGGGAAGGAAAATAGGAATGTTACAGGTAGTGTTGATGAGGATCCGACTGGACACATCAGCCAGTTCCTCATCCAGCCCTGCTCCTCTATCTGTGAGCACTTCCTTCCCATCCTGACCTGCCCAGCACAACTCCAGGAGCACTGTGTCCACAGACATTGTCTCCTTTCAAATTTCAAAAGCCACAGAAACCAAAAAATATGAGAAGATCACCAAGATTTGTAGTTTGGGAAGAACGGGGAAGGTCTGCAATCTGAATTAAGTTAATTTTAGTCCATTAGAACAACTTTTTAATGACTTTGAGCTGCAGTGAAAGGCAGCAAAGCCTGTTAAACCTATTTATTAACTTATTACCTGCAAAGAAATTCAGTTTTATGTTAAGGTCAAATTTTGCTGTTATAAAATAAGTAGGTGCCACGTTGCTGTTAGTGCTCTAACCTTCTGAAATGAAAGGTTATTTGTAACATCAGTTGTGGTGCTCTCAGTGTTACTGGTCACCTCCCCAGGAGTTTGCAGCAGCATTTTACAAAGCCTGCTAATTTTTAAAGCAGTTGATTTTAAAATAAGACTCTTTACATTAAAAGGTTCAAAAAAGGGAGTCCCAAAACCAAGATATAAGTCTCAACTGTTAAAAAATAACATTGCTGTCGGTGTTTAGAACTTGCCAGCCCCTCAAATTTTCACCTATACATTCTTACCACTGATTCCTACAAAGTTAGTGACCAAAACCTTGTAAAAAGTGGGTTTAGGAACAGGACTCACTCGTTTGAAGTCATTCATGTTCGTGGCTTGCACTGGAGTGCCAATAAATGTGAAATATGTGATTCGTGTTGTCTCTTCATCACCATGATTGGACTGGACAAACAACTGAACAGGAAAGAAAGCCAAAAAAAAAAAAGGAATTAAACTCTCCATCTCTCACTTAATACATAAAACATGAGGTGCCCGAGAAAATTAACCAAATTAACACTTTTGTCCCAATTATAAAGGTCTCTAACACTCAGAGGAGCTCCTGTCCTGCTAATTTAAATAATTATATATAGAATGCTGGTGTCTTCCTGGTAGTTTGTTAAAACCCCACCCAGCTGGGATTTTCCCAGCTCCCACTTCCCCCCCCCGAGGCCACAATGAGGAAGCCAAAGCAGATTCTAAGAAGTCCCAGCTCAGCATCCACTGGAATGACCCTCAACATCAATGCCACGATGTTTGTGCAGCCCCAGTTACCCGGGGGGTTTCCCCTGCAGGTGCCCTCAGGGCAGGGCACTCACAGTGACACTGTTGACGTTCTGGAATTTGACATAGCGGAGCTGGATGATCCCATCCTCCCTGATGTCCTCGGGGCCCAGCTCCAGGGCCTGGGTGGGCTCGCTGCGCTCTGCCTCCTCGAAATCCATCGACCGCGGCAGGTTGATGAAGATCTTGATGTATTTTGGCCCTTGCCCTGGGTTAAAGGAGAGGGGTGGGATTCCATTTGGGTGTTACATCCCAAAATTACATCTAATTATGAATTTTACGTGATCTCACGATGTAAACTGAGTTACTATAAAAGAGGTTCGTCTCTCAGTTGCTCTCACCTTAATCCTCGGATTAAATCCAAGAGTCTCTCTGCAGTGCATCAAACATTAATACTTTTACTTGTGTATCAAACATTAAGAAACACTTATATTTGTGTATATAACTATAGTAATTATACTTGCACATAAAAGTATAGCAATTCCTTATATTTGCACCCCATCCAACACCCAGACCCTTCACTCACCGTTGTCTGGCCCCTGAAGTTTCATAGAGTAAAGCTTGACAGGCTGACTAAAAGCTACAGTGATAAGCAGCTGTGGAAGGAAACAGAACAAAAACTCCAGTATTAAACACTGTTTTCTTCACTTAAAAACCAACTCAGCACACGAAAGAGGGATAAGGGAGCTTTGGAGTGAAACTCTGTGGTTACCTCCCTCTGCCCACACATTCCCTTTAAATATCAGCGAACACTTTTCTGACTGGAATTTTTTCGCTTTGTATCCTGATTTTTCTGCATCCCCCCTGCAGCAATCCCAGGATAACCCTGGACCCCGTGCCCCTGTGTGCCCCCTGTGTGCCCCCTGTGTGCCCCCTGTGCCGCACCTGCTCGTCGCAGTCGGACTCCAGGTAGGAGGGGTCCTTGCGCAGGCAGTTCTCGAAGCCGTGCTCGTCGCTCTCGTTGAGACACTCACACCCGGCCTTGTTGATGAAGGGCAGCAAATCCATCTGGGAACACAGAAAACAGCGCTGAGAGCGGGACGAGGCTCCACGGGCTCGGGGAAGTCACAGGGGTTGGTGACAGAAGGCACAGCAAACACAAAACATGGGTATCACAGTGCTCAGGTGGGATTTATCCCTTAAATCCTGCATCCCTGGAACCACCTGCCATCCCAAGAACCAGAAACTTGGCACAGGGAGAACTTCCAAATATATTTTTGCTAAACAAGAGCACAAGTCACACACACAAACATCAGCCTGGAGTTAGAATCGATTTAATTAAAAACCACCCCAAATTAGTCCTATGTTCCCAGCTCTCCAGGCTCCCAGCCATTTAAAAGGGGGTGTTATTGATTAATTATCAATAATTTGATTATCAATAAATTATTCAGATATCAGTAATTAATTGTTGATTAATTATCAATTATCAGTCAGCAAGAAGTGATTCCTGTGTGCCACTCAGGGCAGGCACATCACCTTTTCCAGCTGTTCCTGTGCCATCTTTTTTATTTTATATATTTTATACCCTTGTCATCTTTGTTCTTCTTTGATGGGCAACGAGAAACCTAAAGTGAACACTTTCACTACCGTGCCCTTTGGCAAACATTAGAAAAATAAAATATGAGACATTTTTACACTTTCAAAAAAACGTTTGGAGGAAGGCAGGTTGGGATGGGTGAGAAAAGCAGGGAAAACCTTATGATAAACATTAATTATTTTAACGACTAAGGAGATTTTTCATGCTTATTAAATGTACGCATATCAATATTTAATTTTTTTCTGGAAAAGGAAGCCCAGATAAGTGATTTTCTGAGGCAGCTTTGCCTAAAATCCTAATATTTGACTTGGAGTGTGTTTAAAAAATGAAGATTTTTTTTTGGTCTCCAGGCATTCCAACGAAACCCCCGGGAGATACACACGTATCCTTTGGGGATGTCTGTGTCCTCGCTGTTCCCAGGGTCGTTCTCCAGGTGCTGTTTGATTTTGTCCTCCAAGCCCACGGCATCTGCTCCCTGATATTGGTCGATCCGCACTTTGTTCCGGAAGAACAGGAACGTGGGGGTTGCTGAGATGTTGTTGGTGGCAGCTGTGCCCTGGGAGGCAGAAACCAGTCCCCATTCATTGTCTGAATGACCCTTAGATCAGTCACCACTGGTCCCACTCATAATATTGATTTATCGCATTTTTGCTTTTCCCCCCTCAATAATTACACCAATATTCGGCTGGAAAGACTCCTTTAACTCCCACTGGTGCTAGATTCTATATTTAAAGTATTATCTTAAGAATACAGGCAGCAGGAACTGATAACCTCTCTGTACACTGCTCAAATGAAGGGCAGCACAGTGGGCACTGCAAGAAAACTTTGCTAAATAGGGGGTTTGTTCTCCTGATTTGGGAGAATTTGGCAACAGCCAAAGGACACCCCTTTTAGCATCAAGCCTGAAGGGTTTGCCTTCAAATTCTCCATTCTCTGCTCTTTGTCTTCCAACTGAAAGTGTTTTTTTTTCATACCAACCTGGCATTGATGCACATCCACTTCCAAAAACGTTGCCTGGGGGTATTTGTTACTCAGGGCATTGAAGGCTGGAGCTATCCTTAAGCAAGGGCCACATCTGTGAAAACAACACTTCCACTTAAATCTACTTTTATTTTCTTTTTTAAATGCCTGCCCCCAACGGAATCAGCACATTCCTGCTCTTCCCAATATCCTGGTGCAAAAATAACCTCCCTACCTGGCTGCCAGCTGCTGATACAATTAAGGATGAGGAGTTAATTCCCAGCTTCCATGTCACGTGAGTGGCTTCACCTATTAATTAATACTAACTCATATCTGCAACTTAACTGCAGCATTTTTAACTGCTCAATGAAGTGATATAAAGGAGGGCAAAAGCAGAAAAAACCACTATTAATAGAAAAATCATATCATTACTCCGCATCACATCCCAGGGAAAAACAGCACTTACATATGACTTAAATATTTAATAGTGATAATGAATCAAAGCTTCAGGGATCATAAAATTCTTACAACAATAAATCTCATTTACACCTGCAACCGGCTATCCCCATATTAATTTACGGGAATAACTGGTTACATTGTTATCAACATGGCCCTGTTTTCTGCTGATTTAACTCCATCACCTTGGCTGAAAATATGTCATTTTTAATTATTCCGTGCCACCAAAAGTGTGGGAAGCATCCGGCTGCAACTATTCCTGCAAAGGGATATTCTCACTGGGAAAGACGAAATTAAAATCAGCCCCCCCCCCCCAAAAAAAGTAGACAATTAGCTAAAAAAACCCCCAGAATTCAGCAGCAGCAACTGGAATATAACGAGGTGTGCTCTGAAGCCCCAAACCCCCTGAGATTATCACTATTCACAGATTAACGTGAATAATTCAATCGCTGAGGTTTCTTTGGTCACGAATTCATCCAGATCTCACCGCAGTTGTACCTCAAAGCCCTGCCGAGGAGGGGGAGAGTCTCTGCCTTTCCCGGGCAAACAGCGCGAGGACAGAGCGAACTTTGGCGAGGGCAGAAGATGTTTTTAGAAGTTTGGGATGTTTCATTGCTGTCCGTGCCCCGCTTACAGCAGCTCCCTAACCCGGCACGGGGTTTTAAAGCAGCGCAGCGCCCGATCCCCTCCCGGATCCGAGGGCTGGGTAAGGGGTCGGCGGGAAAGGGGGGTTTAATCCCAGGAACAGGAACGCGGTGCTGATGCTGTGCCTCCATCCGTGTGTCACAGAGTGCCGGCAAGGGCCCAAACGGGCCGGCCCCGCGCCGGGTAACGGGAACGACTGACACAACACGGGCACAGCGGAGCGCGGCGGGAGCGCGGGGCCGCCCTCACTCACCCCCTCATGGTGAACTTCACCACGGCCAGGCGGGAGCCGGCGGCGCTCAGCTCGGGCTGGAACTCGGTGTCGTTGGCGATCACCTTCACGCCCGCCATGGCGGCGGCCCCGGTGGCGGTGCGGCCCCGGTGGCGGCGCCGGGTGCGATGTGCAGCGTCACGGCGGGCAGGGCGCCCGGCATGCACCGCTGGCGCTGGGCTGGCACGGCCACGGCCACGGGCGCAGGCGCGGCCGCCCCGCGCCGCTCCGCCCGGCCGCCGCCCGCAGCCGCCATATTGGGGCGGGCCGGGGCGGCAGCGCCGCCATCTTGGGGCAGGGCACAGAGGGGCGGGTGACGCCGCCGACCGCCATTTTGGGTAGGGGCGATGCTGCCATCTTGGGGCAGGGCAGAGAGGGACGACGACGACGCCGACCGCCATTTTGGGTAGGGGCGGTGCCGCCATCTTGAGGCAGGGTACAGAGGGGCGGGCGATGCCGCCGGCGCCATTTTGGGTAGGGGCGGTGCCGCCATCTTGGGGCAGGGCAGAGAGGGCGGGCGATGCCGCCGGCGCCATTCCCCTCTCCGTGGAAGCGCTGAGGGCGGCCCGGCGGTTCCCATGGTGACCCGGCTGCCGTCAGGCGCGGCGGCCGCGCTTTGCAGCGATGCGTCCCGGCTCCGGGACAAGGAGCAGGGAGCCGGTGAGAGCGGGATAGCGGGATAGCGGGATAGAACGGGGCGGGCACAGCGGGAGCGGCCGGGCGAGCCCCCGGCGGGGATGCTGCGGGGGCCGCCGGGGGCTCTGCGGTAGCGGGCGGTGCCGGGACACGGGGATACCGGGAACGGCGTGCGCGGGAGCTCGGGGACAGGGATACACGGGTATCCGGCTGTCCATGTGCCCGGGGACAGGGAGACACGAGTATCCGGCTACCCATGTGCCCGGGGACAGGGATACGCTGGTATCCAGGTGCCCGGGGACCCGGGCAATGCAGGACCCAGGTACTCGGATGCCCAGCGAGCCGGGTATCCAGGTGCCCGAGGACCCCGGTGCCCGAGTGCTCGGGGAACTGGGTGTCCAAGTGCCCAGATGCCCAGGGTCACAGTTCTCCAGGTGCCCATGGCCCCAGGTATCCAGGGACGCAGGTATCCAGGTGCCCAGTTATCCAGGGGTGCAGTTCTCCAGGTGCCCAGGATTGGAGTCCAGATTTCAGCAAGTTTCACCCCAAAACAAGCCCTGGGTTCTTAATGGATGGGAGTTTCTGCCCCTGTTAATGGAGCATGACCTAAGGAGAGGCTGCTCGTACAGAATTAATGCTCTGTGGAGACTGAAATTCCTTTCAGTGCCAGTTTGTTGTGGCCTTGCAGCCTTGCTGCTTTTGTTTCCCTTTCCTGTGCCAGCCCTGTTGGCAGCCGGGGTGGGATTTGGGGTTATCCAGCTGCTTGGGATAACTGTCCTTCCTGACAGTTTGATACAGGACAAGCCTCTGTGGGTTTGATGTGTCATCACATGAAGCACCAGGAAAACCTGGGAGCAGCTTCCAAGGGGTCAATTAACTGCAGTTTGGAGTCCCAGATTATTATTATCTCGTCGTCTGCCTTGCTTTGGAACCTCCTGCATATCCAGGGAAATGTTTTAATTGTCTTCCCCCCGTTAGTCCTTTTTATCTGTGCCCAAGTAATAAATAGAAAGTATAATTTGTAATTAAATTTAGAATAATCAGATTTTTATAAAATGCATAAAGAGCCCATTCATAGCTGGTTTATACTATTCAATGCTATTTTGCAGTATTTGGGGGGCAGATTATTTTTGTGTACACCCGTATCCTAATGTTAATTCCTTATTTAATGGCAATAAAAGTGTTTGGGAAGAGCAGCCCTTGGCTGTTGCCCTGCTCTGGTGTGACAAAGGTGGATTTGTCTTCCTCCCATAGATTTATTCTGTTTGGGGGATTTTCTGGCTGTAAAAATCATTATTATGGGTTTCAACATAAACAGCTTGGCTTGATAAAGGTGTTTAGGTAAGTCTTGGATTCAGTATTTAATATCTTGCACTTAAAAAATCAGTTTAATGGGTTTACTCAAATAGGAACCGATCCCAGACTATTAAAATTGGGGAAAAAAACTGCCTCTGAGGACAGAGAGCCTGTGGGCTGAGGTGAGATTGCTGTGAGTGTTGGGATGAGCAATGCAGGGAACAGGGAGCTCAGATCAGTCCTTGGGCAGGAATTGAACTCGGGAGATCGGCTGGTCTGGCCCCAGAGAGCACCACTGAAATCAGAATAATGACCTGGCCTGTACCCACTGCCACTTATTCACCCAACAAAATTCCAAAGCGCGTCTTGGATCTGTTTCAAGAACTTAAAATATCTTTAAAACCAATAAATCACCATTTCCTCCTTCTTTTTCCCTTTCAGGTGGTGGAATTGCCTCTCTGTCCGTGTGCTGAGCTGCGGCTGCAGGGACTGTCAGGCCTTGTTGGCTGTGAGTTCGTGGGGTTCTCCCTGGGAAACTGGGAATAATGAGCAGTCAGGTTGTAGAAATGTTTTCTGAAGCCCTTGCCTTTTCTGTGCCTTTGGCTGACAGCTCTCCTCTTTGTGCCTTTGCAGCTGTTGCCTGGTGTCATTTCCCTGCCTGAGCTGGCCGTGGGTCGGTGTGGGACGGCGAGGCCGGAGAGAGCGAGCGGAGGAGCCTCGGGCTGGAGAGGGGCAGCAGAAAGGCCCTGTGGGCAAAGGGACCTCCCTGTGTGCCCAGGGCCCTGCGGGGGACAGGATGGACACTCTGGGGGCACTCTGAGGGGTGAGTGGAGAGCCTGGGGGCAGAATGTGAGTTCACCTCCGGGGAATAAAGAGGGCACGTTTGTGAGGGAAGAGCTGAGGGGTTTTGTCAGGAAGAGAATACCCAGTTTTGGGGTAACAAAGATCAAATCAATTTTGTGGGGGAAGGAGAAAATTGGGGGTGAAACTGGATGTTATTTTTAGTGGAGAGAATGAGCACTGAGAGGTGAACAGGGGCAGTCAGCAGTGGGCATGCAGGGAAAGTTCTGAGAGTAAACTTGCAATAGTTTATAGGGTTGAGATTGAACATATTTAGGTGTCAAGGTGATCAGATGTGGAGAGGTAGGGAAATTTTAGGGGGTTAAAATCTGGGGCAACCTGTAGCAGAGAGAATGAAAATGTTGTGTTAAAACAGAGGTAATCAGGAGTGGGCTGGAAGGGAAAGTTGTGGGGGTGAGATAGGAGAGAGTATCCATGGCAGGGAATGACTGTTTGGAGGTGAAACTGAGGGAATCAGCAGTGGACAGGGAGGGAAAACATTGGGGTAAACTCTGGGGCAGTGTGCAGCAGAGACAAGGAAGATTTTGGGGTCAGCTGAGGCAGTCAGGAGTGGGCAGGTAAGGAAAGTTCTGGGGGTAAAACTTGAGAAAACCTCTGGGTTAGAAAATGGACCTTTGGAAGTAAAAAAGAGTTACTGAGTGGTGTGCAGGTGGAGAAAACTGTGGGGGTTAAATGTGAGGTGATCTGTGGGGGAGAGAACGAAGATCTCGTGTTAAAAACGAGGTGACCAGTTGTGGACTGGAAGGGCAGGTTTTGGGGCTTCAAAACAAGGTTGATTCTCTGCGGGGAGAGAATGAAGCAAAGGAAATAAAATAAAAAAAAAAAGAAAAAATAAAACAAAAAGAAATAAAAAGAAAAAAATGAAATGAAATAAAATGTTAATAAAATAAAATAAAAATAAATGGAAAATAAATGGAAAATAGAATAAAATGAAATTTAAAAAAAGAAATTAAATAAAAGGAAAATAAAGCTAAATAAAATAATAAAAAATGAAATAAAATAAAAATAAAAAGAAAGAAAATAAAATGAGAATGAAATAAAATGCAATTAAAGAAAGAAGTGAAATAAAAAAAAATAAAATTAAATAAAATAATAAAAAATGCAAAAAATAAACAAAAATAAGAGGAAAAAATAAAACTAAAATGAAAAAAAATTAATAAAAACAAATAAAATAAAATAAAATAAAAATAAAATAAAATAAAAAGAAACAGAATAAAATGAAAATAAAATTAAATAAAATAATAAATAATGCAATAAAATAAACAAAAATAAAAAGAAATAAAATAAAATGAAATGAAGTAAAAAGAAATAAAATAAAATAAAATGAAATGAAAATAAAATAAAATAAAAATAAAAAAATAAAATAAAGTGAAAAAAGAAAGAAACGAAATAAAAGGAAAATAAAATTAAATAATTTCAAAAATGAACTCAAATAAACGAAAAGAAATAAAATGAAATAAAATAAAAAGAAATAAAATGAAATAAAATAAAAAGAAAGAAAATAAGGTGTTTTCTTTGAGGTAAACCGAGGTAAAGTGAGGTAAAGTGAGGTGATGAGCGGTGGAGAGGTCTGGAAAATGTGGGGTGTTAAAGTCGGGGCAATGTGGTGGGCAGAGCAGGAGTGTTTGGAGGTGGGTTGAGGTTGTGAGCAGTGGGCAGGAGGGGCTAATTTTGGGGTGTCCCTGGAGTCGGTGCTTTGGCCCGCGGGTGCAGCGAGGCCGATCCCCGTGTCCGCTTTGTGAGGCAGGTGCCGGGTTTGGGGCTGTGTGTCAGGGAGGGCAGGGGGGCTGCGGCTGGGGCGCGGGGGGCGCGGGGGGTCCTTTGCGGGCCGGCGGTGTCGGGGCTGCAGTACCGGCCGTGTCCGCCAGGCGGAGACTGCGGGGCACAAGCCGAGGGTGCCCCGGGCACGGGCCAGAGCCGGGCAGGGCCGGGAGGGTTTGGGAGTCCCGGCGGGGAAAGGACCGAGGGCTCGGGGCACATTCAAACCCCCCCGACCGTCCCCGCAGCGCTGCCCTCGGCCGGGAGCGTCCGATCCCGCCGGGAATGCGGGAGAGGGGAACGGGCCGGACATTCCCACCGGGAATGCGGGGGGGCGGGACTG